TTGGATGCTCACCCTGCCCAAGAGCCCTGGACCCCCTGGGGTACCCTCCTTGACCTCCTTCGGCAATAAATCGGGCCATAAAGTTTCCCTGAGTGTGCTGGTGTGGGTGTGACCCTAGCCCCTCCAGTCCCATTATACATAACTGATGCCACAGGGCCTTGGGGAACAAGGTCAGGGAGGGAAACAGGCAGGCAGGGTGCCAACAGGAAGCCCTCTGGGTGTTCAGGGAGGGGAGGAGAGAGGATGGATTTGAGCCAAGCCTCCTCCTCCTCCCTGTCATCCCTCACCTGCCTTGTTAATGCTCTGGTACCCTCCCAATATAGTCCAAATTCAAAACTCCCCCCAACACGGCCTCTGCCTGCCCCTCCTGCTCCATCTTAAAGATCACACACAGTGGGGCTGACCATACACCAATACTACCCTAAGTTTTTATAGAAATGAACTCATTTAATCCTTATAGCTTATGAAGTAGGTACTAGTACTGTCCCGAATTTACAGATGAGGAGTCTGAGGCACAGTGCAATGGCAGTTAGTAATGGCAAAGCCACGATGTGAACCCAAGCCATATGGGTTCAGTCTGTGCCCTAATTGCTCCCTTGTGTGACTTTAGTTTCTTCCTTCTTGTGTCATTCCTATTTTCCCAAACACACTGACTTTTCACCTATCACTGGCCTGTTCCCACTTTCATGCCTTTGTGCTCAGTGTTCCCTCTGCCTAGATGACTCTTCCCTCCTTATCCTGACAAATTATGCTTATCCTCAGAGAGCCAGTTAAGTGTCACCTTCCCTGTGAAGCCACCCTGGACCCCGTCCAGCCCGCCCCCTTCAGTCTTCCTGTTCACAGGGCACTCTGCACACACTACTGCAGGAAGCCCTGGGACTTGGGGCTCCTTGACTGTCCCGTCCCTCGATGCTCAAAGTTTTGTCCAGGACTTTGTCCAGCTCAGGAGTTACTGGTAAATGTGGGATGACCTGGGGGCACAGAGAGAAACGAGGCTCCACCCCCCGCCCTCTAGAAGCTTATACATTGGTGGGAAAACTGACCCAGAAACAGTCCAAGATCCAAGGGGATCAGTGTCCCCAGGGGGGCACAAAGAGCCTGCAGTGTCACCGGCTCCAATGGACAATGCTTTGCTTACCACAGGGGAGTCAGAGGGGTCAACGTGTGTACTTGAAAGATGAAGAAAATTCCAGGGGCTGAGTGGGGCCCATGCAGGCAGGGAAGCTGAGGAAAGGGTTCCCAGGCTGGCAGAGGCAGGCAAGTAGGAAGGTAGGTCATACTGTGAGGGCCAAGAGTTCAGCTGAGCTACCGAACCCAGCAGACAGTGAGCTGCAGGAGGGCAGGGCCCGCATCTGCTTGATGCTCCGTGGTATATCCGCTGCCAGTGCCTAGCACAGTGCCTGCATAGTGTGTGCATAGTGCCTGCATAGTGCGTGCACGGTAAGAGATTTGTCGGAAGTATAATAGATCTCATGGGGTGTGAAGTCTTATATAATTCGGTGGCTCTATTAAGAAAGAGAATGCCAAAATCCTAATATAAATGTAGGCACAAAAGCGAATGTTCAGCTGTGATGAGAATAGGAAGCTGTGCAACAGACCTGAAGCTGCAGTAGCTTCACTGATAATTCGCCTCTGGTCAGAAGAATATAAGGAGGGTGGAGCACCAGGCTAACCTTTTCTATCTGCTCCAGAGGCCCAGGTTCAGAGCTGCCTCTGAGCCCTCAGTCACTGTCCCAGACAAGCCACCAGGACCATGCCTCTGTCACACTGCTTCATGGGCCACTGTGGCCGCAAAAAGGCCTGATTCTCCCAGGTCAGGAGACTTCCTCCCCCTGGGAAGGTAGCCAGAGGGCAAATGTGGGCGGCTGAAAACTGTTTGCCTGTCACCTTCAGGGGACCTTGGACACTCCTCTCCTTGGCCTTAGGGGTCATGGAGGGTCTGTTCTGAAAGCCTCCCTTTCATTCTGGCCTTCTGCTCATCTGACTGGCTCAGGAGACTCTCACAGCGGGGGCAGCAGGGAACTGCTCTCTGAGAGCCTCATTCATTTCCCAACGCGGAGGTCTTACAAGGGACTGCTGGCACTCTGCTGGTTGGGAGTGGGTGGGGGCGCACTGGCACGGAGGTGCTCCCTGCCCATGGGGCCAACGAGACATGAAAGACATAATTACAGTCTTCAAGCTGAGAGATTCCACACCAAAGGCAGACTTCCTGGGGGAGTCCAGGAAGGTTTCTCAGAGGAGGAGATGCTTGATTTGAGAGATGGGAGCATTCATTCAACAATTAATTACTGAGCACATATTATGTACCAGGCTCCAAGGATATAGCAGTGAAGAGGACAGATGGGCATTTGCCCCCAAAATTTCTTTCCTTCAGTCCAGCAGGAAAGCAGGAATTGACTCAGGAGAGAAGAGCACAGTCCCTCAGACAAAGGGAACAGCAGGAACAACCACATAGAAAAGGAGGGACTGCTTCCTGCCTATGGATGGCTCAGAAAGAAGTTTGGTGCCAGGGGAGAGGGGTAAAGCTGGCTGGGTTGGCAGAGAGCAATAATAGAGGGGCTGGAACACCAGGCGAGGCACTTAGGACTTGATCGTGCTGGCAACTGGGAGCCACAGCAGGTTCTAGACCAGCGGTTCTCAACCTGTGGGTCGCGACCCCTTTGGGGGTCGAATGACCCTTTCACAGGGGTCGCCTAAGACCATTGGAAAACAAAAAGATATTTACATTACGATTCATAACAGTAGCAAAATGACAGCTATAGAGTAGCAACGAAAATAATTTTATGGTTGGGGGTCACCACAACATGAGGAACTGTATTAAGGGGTCACGGCATTGGGAAGGTTGAGAACCACTGTTAAGCAAAGGGAGAAGTCACAAGGTTTCATAGCACCATTACCAAGCTCAACTCATAAGGCAAAATAGCCTTCTAACAGCCCTGAGGCCGCAGCCACCAGTGGGAGCTTCCTGGAGCCAACCTCCCCATCCCCCAACCATGGGCTTGGCTAGGAGAGGGCACCCCTCCAGCCTGGACTTCAGCCTCCAGCTCAGCCCCCTCCTTGTTCTTCCCACCAACTCGAAGGCTGTTGTACTTTAAAGAGGGGATAGGCCAGAACCTCTGGGTCCATGCTTCACTGAGGATTCCAACCCTTCCTCATGCAGGCCCCATACCATTTGCCTCTTGTGGGCTTTAAATGTTATCATGCTACTGGTTTCCTTACAAAGCTCTGTCTTTCCCATAGCAATACCTGACTTAAAACTTTCCCAGGGCATCCCCTCTGCCAACTAATGAGCTGGTCTTCAAGACTGAGTCCTCAGCGTAACCCTGATGGGTTCGGGGTCATGAGCAAGATGCTAACAGAGTTCTTGGCCCTTAGAATAAAGTCTGAACTCCCTTTTGTGTGGCTCCACCTGCCTCTTCACACTTCTCTTCCCATCAGTTCTGCTGTCCCTTCCCTGGGAGCTCCAGCCACCCTGAACTTGCCTGGATTCTCCAACAACGCAATGCTCTCTCTCATCTCCAGGGTTTTGTCCAGACTAGCCTCTGTCCAGACCACCATCCATTCCCTGAGGTTCCCTCCTAAGCTAGCTAACGCCTACTTCTTGCCTGAGCCTGTATGTCACTCCCTCAGGGAATCCTCTTCTAATCTCCCCAAAATAGGCCAGGGGTCCCCAGAGGTGTTCTTTATGACTCCATGCCTTTGCATGTGCTGTTTCCTCTGCCAGGAATAGCTCTCCCTCCGTCCTGTGAAGCCTGGTGCCTGCCCAGTCCCTGACAAGTAGCAACATTTTTAATTGCTCTTACAGATGAGGAACCAGAGGCTCAGAGAGGTCCAGTAACCTGTTCAAAGCCACATAGCTTTGCCCCAGAATGCGATAATGATGAGTGGATACACTCCTGTGTCACGTATATGCTCTTGGGAACATCACTTTGCCTCTCAGTGCTTTGATGTCCTCATCAGTGGAATGGGTTATCTACTGCATAAGGTTGGTGTGAGACTTACAGAGAAGCTGTATTGCGTGGCCTCCATTCCTTTGCTCCCCAGGCCATTTAGTGGCTTTCACATGGCCCCAGAAGCACATTCAACATTCACTCTCATACATCAAAACCCTCCAATGCCGGCTCAGTGCCTCACCCTGTACAGGGTGCTGGAGCCTCGGGAGATATAAATCAGACACAGCTCCCGCCCTAAGGCACTTGGGGAGAGGAGGAGGAGCAGAGAGCATAAAGGTCTCTCACACACCTCTGCTCTCGACTTCATATTTTTAAAACTGATAACGACGCTCCTCCCTGCGGATGGGGGCTGAGAAGGGGGAAAATGTTTAAGAAAGGTCCACTCTTTATCTACAAAAACTTAATTTTCACTGCTTCCCGAAATCTGAATATTTCACACCATTCAAACTCACCTCCTCGTGTTGAGCCCTAGAAGTTGGGGTGGTAGAATACTGTGAGAGCTGTGTCCCACCACCCCCGAGGGCTCCACGGTCCCTGTAGATTCCACTACCCTGGATAGCCCACCTCGCCTCCATCCAGCTTCTTTCCCTACCCCGACCCCAGTACCTATCCCGTGACTCCCCCTCTCCCACCCGAGCCAGTCCCGACGTTCCGGTCCCAGACAATCCTGTCCTCTTCCCCTCTCCCTCCATCCGGCGCCACGTTACCCTTCCTCCAGCCCCTCTCTTTAAGGTCGCCCCCTCCCCCGCTCCCGCGTTGTCCTCGCTCCAGCCGCACCTTTCCACGGTCGGCCCCACCCTCTCCGAGGTAGGCTCCACTTTCCGCAGGGCTCTGTTCTTTTCCCACTCTCCCCTCCAATTGGCTCCTGCTGGGCTGAGGAAGGGATTCTGGCGCGCGCCCCGCCCCTTGCCTGTGATCCGAGAGGGGCGGGGTTTCGGGCTGACTCCGCCCCGTTCGGGTGGGGAGGTGCCCGCTTGAGCTCCGGCGCTGGGCGGCGCTGCCTCAGCTCAGCTCCGCTGGGGCCGCAGCTCCTGTGGGGGTGGGAGACGGAGATGACAGCGGCGGGGGTGGCGGCGGCTGCGGCACGGGGCTGAGCGAGCGGCGTGCGAGCCGGGGGAAGAGGAGGAAGTGGAGCTGCGGCCCGGAGCTCAAGAGTCTGCTGCCGTGCGGAGGTATCCCCCATTTTTCAGAGCGAGCCGAGTCTAGACCTGGAAAGACTTCCCCGCCCGGCGCTGGCGGCCGCTGCTCTTTGCCGGCGTCCTGACTTACCCCGCCTGCCCCGGCCCTGGATTCCGCGCTGGGACGCTCTCAGGTGGTCCGGAGCGTGGTGACCAGGACGCCCCGAGCCCCCGACCCTGATCCAGTGCACCTGGGCGGGACGCTCCTGGCCCACCATACGGATCCATGGTTGCGGGCTTGTTCACAGCCTTTCTATAGTGTGTATCGGAGCCCCCAGCCCTCCGCCCGGGGTTAACGCAGGGTGTCCCCAAGCCCCCGACTGAGTGCAAAGGAGCCCGGACGCCCCTCAGCCTCTGTTTCCCCTAGACCAGGACTTTTAGCTGCCTCTGACTCGGTGCTGCTTCGGACTTGAGACCGTGCGAGTGCCCGGGAAGCCCCGGCCGGGGTTCAGCGCCCCGTGAGGGGTCGCAGGCGGGCTGGACAGTCGGACTGAACCGGACCCGGCTGGTGCTGCGAGTCGAAGCTACCACTTTCCTGCCTTCCCAGGCGAAGGGCTTGGCGCGTGCCCCGAAGAGAACACAGGGGCCCCTCTGCCCCGGCGGCCGGCGGGAGCCGAAAGCTGCAGGTGAGAGAGCCCCGGATGCCGGGGCTAGGACGGCCTCTGACCCCATCCGGGCTGCGCCGGGGCCAGCTGCGGGGGTGTGCCGGGCACTAGCTGAGGCTGGAACTGGCTAGGAAGGGGCGCGGGAAAAGGAGGGGGGAGGGAGAAAACGGGCACTTGTCGGGCTCCCATTGTGTGCGGGGTCCGCGCCCCACCATTGCGCAAGGGGTCCCCTCATTAAAGCTCACTAATAACTCGGTGAGATAGAAGGTGTCGTGTACAGTTATGGGCTCTTACAGATGGGGAAACAGAGGCTCAACGGGATTGAGTGACCCTCCACTTTTCACTCTGAGGATGAGACTGGGAGGAGGGTTAGAGTGGAGATGAAAAGAAGCAGAAATAGAAGAGTAAAAGAAAGGAAGTGAATAGCCGCTAGACAGGAGGTGGGGGAAGGGGTAAAGGTAGGGTCGCTGGGGCATCCTAGAACTGATCCTGGGGCTGGAGGAGGTAGCTTCTCCCGGTCTCCTCCCCTCCAACTCCATGGGCAGGTCACCTCCCAGAGGTGACCCAGAGTTGAGGGCAGAGGTGGGAAGCTTCCTACTCCCACTGCTCCCCTCCCTGAGGGCCCAGGACCGGAAAGCAGCTGCTCCTGGCCCTTGCCTGCCACACTCCAGCCATATTCCAGGGTCTCTAAGGCACTCTGGGGGTCCTGAGATGCTGTTTATCTGTTGGTGAAACTCACAGGCCCCCCAAGTTAGAGTCCGTCAGAGCTGGAGATGAGGCCCCTCAGCACTCATCCAGCTCACGTCCTTCACATTACCAAGGGTGGGGTGGGTATGTGTGTGTGTGGGGGGGTGCCAATTGTCCAAGGTCCTAAAGCAGTGAGTGAGTGGTTGAGCCACAAGTACACTCGTAGAGACATCCTTAAAGGTATCCATTCCCCCTCCCAAGTTAGCATCTTCTGTGGGTGGTTGAGGTTTTTCCAAGTCCTGATGTGAGGTCAGGGTGACCACATATGAGGCTGTTGTGAGTCTGTGCGGTTGGTGCGGGGGCCCAAGACATGCCAGCAACCCCATAGCCTTTGGCCTAGACTCTAGACTAAAGGTCTGACCTTAGCCTCTCCTGGGCAGAGGAACCTGCAAGACGCCTCTGGCCTAGGAGGGGAGGACTTGCTTTGGGTATCGATGCTGGGGCTGCCAGGGCTGGGGGCACAGTCCCAGGTGTCTGGGTTCCCAGGCAGGGGTTCCTTCTGCTACCGCCTCCCCTCCTCCGGGGCAGTGCAGGGAAAGGGGTGTTGTGAAAGAGGGCCTGGCCTGGACTCTGTAGGCTCTTGTTCTGGGTCGGAAGGGGGAGGGGACATGGCCCAGGTCTGAGCCCTGTGGCCTTGGCTGGGACTAGTTAACCCCTGCTGTGCTCAGCTTCCTGGAGTCTAGGGGAAACCACCTTGGAAAGCCCCTGGGAGGTGGAGGAGGCTGGAGAGGTCAGCTGAAGGCTGGAAACTCAGGCTTTGGTGGTGGAGGGGTTGAGGAGCCTCAAGAGAAGGTGTCTGAGGGGCTTGGGAGTCCCCCTCCCCACGTGATCCATGGGGATTCAAATTCTCATCATAATTCCTGCCTCTAAACAAAGCTCCTCTTTGATGAGATAATTTCACACCTGTGATCTCATTTCATGGTGTGATGGAAGGAACCTGGAGTGAGGCAGAACATTGTTGAGCCATCTGGGACCTCTCAGATGCATTTGTGGCTCCCAACCTCACCTGTAAAATGGGGTCAAGGCAGGCTGTGTGTTATCTGTTCAGATAACGGGGCCACCGTATCCTGTGGACTGTCAAGTGCTGCAGAGTTTCTGTGTTTGCCAAGACTGGGCTTGTTAGTAATGGGTACCTTGTGTGGGAAACTGAGGCTCAGAGAGATGAAACCACTTACCCAGGGCCTTTGTGTTTGCTTCAGGAACTGTCTGAGTACCAGCTGCATACCAGGTGCCCTGGAAGTGACCCAGATGGAAAAGGCAGTGTGGTGACTAGCTCACAATTGGGTGGACTAAGTGGCATGGGCAGATAGTGGTGAGACAGACCAGGTGGGCATGAATCCACCCTGCCTCCCGCTGGCCATGTGACATTGGGCAAACCACTCATCAGAGCCCCAACTTCTTTTCTGTAAATTAGAATTCCTCCTTTACGAGGTTGTTGTGAGGATTAAGTGAGATATAAATATACAGTGGTTAGCCTAGTATCTATTTCTTTCCCTATAAGGAAAAGAAGCTTAAATTTTGACCAGAAAATATGGGAAAGTTCTCAGGCTTGCCTTAGGATGCAGGCTACTGTTGCAGGCGCACAGACCTTGGTTTGCTCAGATGGGACTCCTGTGGGTCAGGCCCCCCTGTGCCACTTTCCTGGTCTCTTAGTCCTCTAGAATCTGCTTGGGGACCCTGGCAAAGAATCTGGGTTCTGACCCCCAACCCCAGGACCAGGGTTGGAGGGAACTGGTGTTCATTCCATCTGGCTCATTGTCTGATCTCCCTTAAGCACAAAGGTGCAGTGAATAATTTATGGGTCCCCTCATTGCTGGGAGGCAGGCTCAAGGAAATTGCTCTGTGCCCAGCTGAGCTTCTGAACCTCTTCCTTACCCTCCCGCCCCTAGGAGGCGGGTAGTTCCAGTTAGTGCTATAGGAAGTCTTGGCTATGGGGAGAGGGAGGCAGGATGGGAAGAAAGTGACCTATTATTAACCCCGGCTCTCTCCTGTTGGGGGGTCAGGTGGGCCCACAGGAAGCAATGGAAACCGAGCTAGCTGAGTTAGGGTCTCTGATTCCAATTGGGTGATGAGAAGCGGCAGGGAGAGGCCCTTGAGGACTGGAGTAACCCTGGAAGGCTTCATCAAGTGGGAAGGTGTCTGGGCTGGGGCTAGAGGCAACTCGCTGTAGGCATCAGTTCAACATTGAATCCTGGCTGTGCCATTTACTCACTGTGAGATTATGAGCAAGACACCTGACCCTGCCAGACCTCCGTTTGCTCCTCTGTAAAAGGAGAGTAGTGATGGGTGACTGTGAGGCCATATATGTCAAGCACGTGGCACGATAGGTACATAGTGAAAGGGTACTTCATTGTGAACATGAACCATGGGGCGAGCTAACGGCAGGGGAGATGGAATGTTGTAATAAGCAGGGAAGTGGGGAGAACTCGGGGGTGGTGATGCTAGGGCTTGTTGGGTCAGTGAGGAGTAAGTGACCAGATGTTTAGAGGACCTTGAATGTCAAACAGAATTCACATTTCAGAAAGCATCATGGAGTGCCCACTCGGAACCTTCTGTGGTTCTTTCTTGCCTGTAAGATGGAGACCAGGCCCCTTTTTTGTGTATTCAAGGCCTTGCCCACTGTAGCCCCTGCACGGACCCCTGGCTCGTTGCTCATCACTGTCTCCTAAACACACCACATGTGGCCCTGTTGCTGCCCCTATGCTTGTGGGGTTCCTCTTGTCAGAACTGCCATCCCTGCTTCTTTTTCTGCTCACCTCCACCTGTTGAGGCCCCACTCCAGTCATAAATTACCCAAGAAACATTCCTGGATTACCCAACCCTCTGGGCATACTGCCTCTGATTCTTCAACGCTTCACAGTAGTAAATAATACCGGCCATTGCATCACATTTTACAGTTTGTAGACTGCATCCACATACTCATTAATAATACTATGATGGTGATATTAACAGTAGTTAAAGCTTTGAGTACTTATTATGAGCCAGACACTGATAAGCACTTTACAGACACTCATTCACAACTCCGGGAGGTAACTATTGTCGTCTCCCAGAAACTGGGGCTCAGAGAGGTGCATTGCCCTGCTCAAGGTCACACAGCTGGACAGTGGGGAGTGAGGCGTCAAGCCTGTGCTCCTATCTGTGACTAAACAGACAGCTCGACAGCTTGTAGAAGATATCCTGTCTCCTCAGCTCTGCCCAAGCATCTTGAGAGCATAATTGGCATGTGAAAAGCCTGGAAATGAGCCTTCTTCTCAGAGCTAAGAAAGGCAGTGCTGGGGTGAGCATGGGACCCAGGAAGGAACACTTGGCCTGGCATCCAGGGCCCTGGGCCCTGCACTGGCTGGCTTTGTGACTTGGGGTGAATCAGCCCCCCTCTGTGGCCCTGTTTTCCCATGGGTGAGTGGGTTGGTATCTGAGCTCCCAGAGCTCCAGCTTCCGCAGTGTCCTTTGTGACCCTGGACGGTAGAGGAGGAGACCACAGCATCAGGGCCAGAGGATGTGGTGTGCCGGGTGGCTGTGATTCTTGGCCTCGTTGCTGTCTGGGCCAGCAGGCTCTGTAGTTAAGCTGCTGCCGCTCCCGAAGAAGGGTGGTGCCCGGGATTGCTAGCAGCATGGTCATTAGCTGGGCAGAGAAGGCCCTGTGATTGGGAGCCGGCTGGGCTGGGCCAGGCCAGGCCAGCAGTGCTGGAGGCAGGCTGGCCTGGCCACAGTGGGGTCATTAGCAGGGCAGCTGGCAGGGCAGCCGCTGCTCCTCCCTCTGCAGCCTCCAGGGCAGTGGCAAGTACCCACTGGGCCCCAGAGCTTTGTAGGCCACGGTATGCCTGTCCTCCTGTTGTGGTGGTTGTAGGAGTGGAGCAGCGAGGAATTGAGCCCGGATCGAAGATGCCTCCTCCAAGAAGCTTCCAGGCCTCTTTCCAAGCAGGCGGAATCCAGCCCTCCTCCTCCTCTGCAGATTCGTAGCCCTCGCTCACTGACTGTGGTCTGTGGATTGGGGTTGTGTAGGTCTGCTTTCCTTGCCAGCCAGTCAGAACTAGATTCTGTGCCACCCCAGTCCTCCCCTACCCCCAGAGTGCCTAGCAGTATGTCTGGCACAAAATGGCAACCCCAAGGGCGGGAGAGGCAATGTGCGCTGCCTCTCGGGCAAGTCGCTCAGCCTTTGTACTTGTACAGTGGGGCTGATAATAAGTGTTGTGGGGGTTAAATAGGATGATGGGAGGAGGGAGGGGCTTTGTGCAGGGAGTGCACTTGCCCATCGGCTTGGTAGCCTTGTGAAT